TGCGAGTCCGTACAAATGACTTCCACAGCAGCACTGTCGATGGTCATTGGCGTTGGCGGTCATTGGTGTTGGGTGTGGCCTCTCTGGAAGTCGACAACAATCTCCTTAATCTTGCCGACGTTCAGCTGGGGTTGTTGTTTCTGCACCGCGCGGTCAGAAGGTCCACCTCTTTCCTGTCGTGAGTCTCGTGCCCTCGGTGATGAGTTGTGTCGTCCGCGAACTTCACAAGATGTTCGGTGCTGTAGTTGGTTGGTCGGTGCTGTAGGCGGCGGTCGGTGCTGTAGGCGTCAGAGCCTCCGAGCTCAGAATGATCAGTGTTTTTGCAGAAACTGGTCGACATGTGACACAATAACAAACTGTTAAGTCATAACATAATTTTATTTAATAAATTAATAATATGTGCAACGACAGAACAAACACCTTCGCACAAAATCGCCTGATATTTCTGCCTGCTTTTCCCAACCATTACAGTATAACAACGTAAACGGCCTCGCTAGACGCTGCACTGACAGACAACAGATGACTGTGAAATTTACTGATTCCACTTTTTTGTGAAACTGTATCAATAAACATATACAGAAATGACTATTAATATCAATATATATTTCACAAATTATAAATAGCACCAACAGTTCAAGTTACAGTCAGAAATCTAAATAGTTTAGCATAACGACTAGCATCGCGAAATTCCATATGAATAGCGGGCTAATTTACACAACAATGACACGCCAAAAATGTGTGACTCATACATTTCAATCATAAAAGTCAATAATAAACAGTATAATTATGTTTTGCCATGTAATACTTACAGACAATGGTTAAATAAACACCAAAGAAAACACCAGAACAGAAGAGCGGCCATTCTGTTGAGTGAGGCCTGAACAACAACTTCTGTCTAACATTTTCTTCTACGTTATAACTAAAAGAGTAAATTAAAATGGCAACTAGAAGGAGTCATTTAGGAAGCAAAAAACACAAGACTATTCTTGTATTCTTTTGAATGAGGTAGATTGTTCCTTTGATTACATGCTTACAATTTGCCCCATAGTTCGTTCATGAATGTTTCTTTTTGTTTTTGTTTTTCTTCACAACTGTGATTTTTTATTTTATTTGTTGCTATGTTTGAATGTGATCTTTGGGTGGTGCCTTTTGTTTGTATCTGGATCTGAAGTACTAATAAAAAATAAAAAATAAAAAACTGTCAATACAGTAACATTACAAACATGTACAGCCGATCTTAGTTAAAAGAATAAAGGCTTTGCACCGTCACGTCTCCATGGTCAATGGTACCTACGCCGCCATGACACGGACACACTATGTCACTGACTTCAGCAGCGTGGAGAAACATGGGCAGGTTTTGTTGTGTAATTTGGTTTTCTAGACGCTCTGAAAGGGATAAAACAAATTGTTTTTTCATGTTCCCTGAAAATGACTC